AATGGCTTGTATTTTTAATTAAATGATAGTCATTCTATCTAAACTTGCAACTATACATATAAGTTACCATGTGCAAATTCATGCAAATCTGTGATTGCTTTTTTCCCTCTTTTAGTGCTACATATCTCTTTTTGGGTAAAGCACAAGCAACTATATACTAAGTGATAATTATTATTATGTTGCATTAATATCCTGCCTTTTTCCTTCCTGCGAGGAACCCGAGGTAGCTTACATATTCCTCCTTCTCTTCATTTTAGCCTCACATGACAGCCCTATGAAGTAGGCTAGGTTGAGTGCCTGTGACCGGCCCAAAGTCGCCTGTAAACTTCACGATTGAATGGGGAGTGGTCCCCAGCCCAACACTCCAGTCCCATTGCCACATTGGTTCTTTCTGTCATGAGAGTTTCAGTTCTTCCCCTGCCACATGCACATGTGGACCTCTTCAATTTTTTATTATTTGGGTTCCACCCCGCCCCTGAAAAAATAAATAAAGGAAAGATCTTGAGAAATTTCTCTCTCTGTGTTCTGCTGCTCTTGTGTGGGAGCAAGCATCTGGATAGATTTTAAAGAAACAAACAGCACCATGGTTAAATTCTCTGAAGCAAGATTCATCCCTTCTTCCTAATAGGAACAGACAAGCCGTTGTACTATTATCACTTGAAGTCAATTTGTAGGAATGTAGCACAGACAGCTTCAGCTATAGGGTGGTATAGAAATGAAATAAAACAGTAAAACAATAAATAAAGGGTAAAATGAACTTATGGTGCCAAGGGAGCATTATCTCCCAGTGCAAACAGCTATTTCAAATCAGCTTTTTTCCCCTTCAGGACGCCTTAAAGGGAATAGTGTCCTGTACTAAATGTCCTGCCTTTGTTATTGTTGCTAGTTTAATCATTATCACCCCCACATATCCTGCTTCCTTCCATCCGAGTTTCTTTTAAAAAGTGGAAGTTCAGTGCAAACATTTAATAACTTCTCTAGTTTGCCTCCCTTTTACGCCCCTGGGAAGGCTGACTGGAAGAACACAAACACAAACCAACCAGAAAAAGATGCCTCAAATAGCCACTGGGTGGCAGTAGTGCTCCATAGTCAGACTACACATCTGGCAGGAGCCGCTTATGCTTGTCAAGTTGAAGCATGCAGCTGCAGGGGAGCTCTTGCTTCCTTGCACTCATTTTGCTGAGCACATTTCCAAGACTCCAGAAGACTGTATTTAAGAGAAAGCTTGCTGTCCTTGTTGGAATGTTGATGTGAAGGGCCGCAGCTCGGCAATAGACAGCACATATTTTGTACGCAGAAGGCCCCGGGTTCAGTCCCGAGCATTTCCATGTTCTGCTGGGAGAGACTTCTGTCTGCAGCCCTGGAGAGCGCTGCCAGCTAGTGCGTTAGAGTAGACTGAGCTAGCTGGCCCAGCTGACTGACTCTGCTGAAGGCAACTTCCGAGGCCTCCAAGTACAAAGCCCTCTTGCATGGCTAGGGTGACCAAGCCCTCCTCTCAGTCACACAGCACCTACTTTTAGGCAATTCAGAACCACCCCTCCATCCTCACCCCAGGCTTCTGCTAGCCATTCTAATCTGGTTCGACCTAATACCACCAATGTGATCCATGTTCAATCATCATCAACATTCTCTCTTTTTTCCACTTTTTTGTTTGAAAGCAAAACAACTATAATAAAGCAAGCTGAAATGGACAAAATTCTCTTTGGTGGGGTGGCCACATGCCCTGCCTTAAAGAGGACAGTCCCCTGTTAGAAGTCACTGACTGATTGAAGACCTGCCAGGCCAAGTACAGCTTGAAGATGAAGAGACGTGCAAAGGGAGAACAGCAGGGGTCTAGGCCTTGCCCATCCACAGTCAGTATCCGGAGAGCAGACAGGGCAGCAAACACCCCAGCTACTCCCAGGCTTCCCCACCCAGGTGAAAGTGCTTGCATTTCTATTTCAATAACAGTAACTATTATATTTTTGTGGCATATTGGTGGTCACCCTGCTTTTTGGCTCTGTACACCTGTGGGCAGCAATCAACAGACTGTGTGATGAGAATGAACCACCTTTTTGCACATGCTGGTCCTGTCGTGTGCACAGGAATGCCAGGGCTGTCTCATTAGTGCCTGTGACAGAAGAAGTTTCCACATGTACAGGGGCAATTCTTCATTGGGCATGGCAAGGAGAGCGGGGCAGTTCACTGCATAGAGAGAGTGCTGCATGTATCTCAGGCTTCCATAAGCCTCCTTACTTTGGGGCTAGCATCTAAAGCTGCACCCATCTTACAAATGGGAAGGAACTGCAGTGGCAGTGCATTTGGCAACCCAGAACTCAGTAGGAAGGGATATACTCGTACAGCCAATGCCACTGGTTAAGTCTGAATCTTAGCTGACTATGACCTATTATTAATAATACCAAAGTTTCAACCACCAAAACCCACCAATTCTAGCTTGTGTGAGCTGAACTATCAAAAGAAGTTGCCTTAACAGAGAACGGTCCTGTTTTTGAAGGGCTGTCCAGCTGAAAGTTTAAAGCACCCGAAGAAGGGAGAGCAGGGGACTTGAGGTTGCCTGCCAGGGGCAGACTGGAGGGCACAGACTTCCACATTATGGCAAGCTGACTTGTATTTCTATTTAAATGACAAATGTTATTTCCACAGGGGCATAAATTAGCATATGCAAATATTATGCATGCCACATAACAAATCTTATTTGGTGTTATATTTTTATTTTTTGATAATGTGTATGTGTCCACCCCGTACTCACATGTTTTTATTTATTTTGTACACTTCTTATTGTGAATTTCAAAACTTTTAGCAAAACCAAAAGGAAAACTGAACAAAACACAAGTTTGTATGGCATAAAGTTTATGTGTATCAATTGCAGTGATTATATGTGGATTATAAACCTAAATATTACAGGCATATAGGAAAACATGCTACTATAACTATATAGTTATGCATAAGTTTCAACAAATGCAAGTCAAATAACCCTATATTTATCCATGCGTAGGTGGTGTTTGAATACCACCCATTCCAAGGTTGAAAGAAGCAACAGCTCCTTAGTCTATGCCTTATTAAGGGTGGTCATTTATCCTTCCAGACCCTGCATGCATCAGTGCCAGCTTATGAGCACTGATTCCTGCAGAGCTGGAATCTTTTCGTGCTATTCTGGTGGCTTGAACTGGAGTTTAGAACACAACTATTTACAAACAGAACCAAAATTCTCCCTTCCATGGCCAGCAGGTGGCATTAGGTCTATGTTTTTAAAAATATTTTATTTTTTAGAAATATGGAGACAGGTGACTTTCTTTATTGACTAATTTACCATCAACAACCTTCCTGGAGCCTTGCTTATTGCATTTAGTCTAGACAAGTTCCTTTTGAACCAATACTTGTTTTCCCCCAGGAACAAATGAGCAGGGCAAAGAGTTGATGAAGGCTGGAAGCACTGTTCAGGTCTTTCAATTTCTATTGTTCTGTTGCTCTAAAATGGAGAATAGGTGAGCTCAGAGTGACCTGCCAGTCTATTCCTTCATAGAGAGGAAATTATCAAGGGACAGCTTGGATGGAGGAGATGTTTAAGAGACTAGTAGGAGATAGATAGATAGATAGATAGATAGATAGATAGATAGATAGATAGATTCATGTCCCATAACAGGCATGTAAGAAGATATGTGTTGAATCAGACCAAAAACCAATTTAGTTCAGTGTTCTGGTCCCACAGAATCCTGACAGATGTTTCAATGGGATGTCCACATGCAAGATATGAAGTGGCCAGAGACATTTTGCTGCCTGAAGCAAAGACAGACCTTGCTTGCATTCTGTGTACAGAAGCTAACCAGATGGCTGTCAATTTGTTCTTCAGCACTGACATGGGGCAGTTCCTCCCCTGCACCTGAAGGAAGCAGGCTAGGTTAGGGGTACACAGCAGCCCATGGGGCATGCAGCTGTCTCCTGTCCTCTTCTGGCATCTGCTGTCAGAGGTGGCTGCCTCACTCTGCTTAATGAAAGGGCCAGCTCTAACAACACCCTCCTGGTTATGTTTTCCAGCAATTGGGAATTACAGAGGCATGCTGCTCTGCAGCTCACAGAGCACTCCTAAGAGGGAAGGGGACAAAGAGGGAGAGGGAGAGTGAAACAGTGAAACTGCTGCTACTTCCAACTCTCTACTGGCTTGCAGGAGCTGGGGTCAGGGTTTGCCAGGCTTCTGAGCTTGGTGGATCTCCTTTTACATTTCCTTTCCACTGCAAGTTATGGGATGGAGTTAAGTCCAGCATATTAGCTGGCACAGACGAGGGTCCGAATCTGGGCCCCTTTACAGGGAACAAAGTGGCTTTGGATCCAAAGTGGTCTTTGATCCACCCCTCCCCAGATGAAAGGTGGAAGATTTATGCGCAGGGAGCTTTCTGCAGGCATGTATGGGACCAACAGGGTGGACACTCTCTGCACTGGTGGGGCTGTACCAGCCACTTCATCCTATCTAATCCCTCCTGAATGGCTGTCTGAGGTGGTTAGGCCTGCTCTGTCTGCCTGGAAGGATACATAAGCCCATGTGACTGAAACAATCATATTTTGCTTTCACATTTACCCCTACTACTCTTCAGTATCCCTCCCTCCTCTGCAGATTTTCTTGGGTTAAATTTTAGAATATAAGCAACTCAGGGCATGAACTTGTTAGACATAACCAATGAAATGTGTAAGCAACCATATCCTGTGCATGGTCCTGCGGCATTTCCTCTGTAAAATAACATTCCTTCCGCAGCTGGTTCTCTAGGACAGGGTGAATCTGTCAGTTCTGGTTCTACACCTTTCCTAGTTTTTCTGACCTTAGGGGCACCATTGAGTTTCCCACCCCCGGTCCATCTGCTTTCTACTCATATCTTACCTGCAGCCCATTATTCCGCCCCTGGAAATGAGCCTGTGGTCATAGGACATACTGTTCCTTATCTGATCTGTTATTGTCATGTCAAAGATGCAGGTATGTTTACTATACCCAGCAGAAGTGACAAGTTTACCTGTGAGTGGTGCTCTGTTCACCCAGAGATTGCTGAGTAGCCTTGAGGTAACTCTGTCTCCGAGCTGCAGTTTTCGGGGATGGCTTGGGGCTGGTTTCTGAGTCTTCACTGTCATCATCCCCAATGGCTTTGATATAACTCCCACTTCGCATGCGCCGACATGGGATTTCATTGTCTTTGTCCCTAGTCAATGTGTTGTTCCAGTCTCCCTGAGGCACCTGCAAAACCAACAGGACACAGAAAACTTCACAGAAATGAACGAAATGGAGGGACTTAGAAACTGGAGGAACTACAGAAATGCTCTCCACTCATCTAATCCAGCCTCCTGTGTGTATTTGAATTTAGGATGAAGGAAAATAACACTAGCAGAGAAGCCTGTAGAAGCAACAGGCACTCTCCTAGGAATGCAAAACTGTCTGTGAACAAAGCAATGTTTTCTTGAATTCTGTGGTGGTCAGCCTTGGAATAAGAGGCCACCACATCTCCTACCAAGGCTACCTGTCCAAAACCCAATCCCTGAGGGTGAAGGGTGAGGAAGAAGTTGTCCCACTGGAGTCACCACCTCAAGGCACTGCAATTAAAGCAGTAGTTGCTGAAGCCTCCATTTTCTGACAGGAAAAGTAAAGGAGGCGAGAAGGAGGATCCTTTGGGAGACACTACTTCTAGGTGTCTTGGCCACCCTGAAGCAGCAGTTGCAGAAGGGGCAGCGCTCTCTCTTTTGGCACACAACACCCAAAACTAGCTACGTCCTTTTGCTCCACATGGCAGAAAACGCCCATCCTTGGCAGTAAGGATACAATAATAACCCAGTGAAGTAATAATGCTTTGATGCCCTTGGTTCATTGTGCAAATCTGCTGCCTGAAGTAGCTAATTCCCTCCTTCCCATTCTATCAACTTCCTTTCTATTTCCCAACCACCACATTGAGCGTGAGTGAAAGTAGCCTTATTGTGTGAAATGGAGCCAAGGCTAAACGTCTGGTACGTAGAAAATAATCCAGCACTGGCCACGCTGGCTGGAAAGGATGGGAGTTGCATTCTGAAACATCTGGAGCACACCAGGTTGGGGTAGGTTGAAAAAATTGGTGTGTGCCTCTCACGGGTGTCCTCTGGTTCCACCACCAGCCTCTCCAGGGGACAAGAGAGCGGCAGCGGGAGAGAGCTCCTCTTGGGACTGTGGATGCTGCCTGTGCTGGCACAAAGCAGAGACTCCAGTGACAGAGGGCCCTAATAACATGCCTGCATCTTGTTCTCCTCAAATCACCACCAGGGTGATTGACTTTGACCTTTCCTAATGAAGGAGACACAAGCCTTCTGAAAGCACTTTAATGCTGGCTGCCTCGGAGTCACGTCTGGCTGGAGATTAGAAGTTTCTTTTCCCTTCTTTGCTTTTGGCTTGCCCTTGCCTCAACTTGTTAATTTCACCACAGGAAAAAGTGCCTGCCAGGAGATGAAAAGCAGCCCTCAGAATGGCAAAAGGCACTGCTGCATGACCGACAAACGTGGCAGTGGAAGAGCAAAGCCCGATGAGATCAGGAGGCCAGGGGAGCCTTGAAGGAAGTGGAGAAACTGCCATGGGGGCTGCCGCACACATTATGACGCCACTTTCCCCGGCCTGAAGCCCTCCAGATGTTTTGGACTTCAGTTCCTTCTGCAACAGCCAGCAGGGCCAATGGCCAGTTGTAGCCCAAAACATTCAGAGGGCAGTGATGAGGGAAGGCTGCATTTTGTAACCCTTTGCCCCCACATATAATGTGTGAATGTGGCACATCTGTGTTTGTATGTATTCAGATAATGCCACTGGTGGGCAAGTTATTTTGCACAGCAGGAGGAGGAAAGGTCTCTGTCCTGACAAGTGTATGTTTTAGGGGCCAAGGCTAATGCTACTTAAAATCTGCACAAAACTATTTTTCCTCCCAATTTTATTCTAAAATAAACACAGGGTATGGGGGAAAGGGTTAAATCCTTGGCACCTGCACCTACCATAGAGTAAAAATGGGGAGTGGAGAGAAAGGTATGGCCTTTAAATGGCAAGCTGAAGGAGTGTCTCTTTTGACCCTGAAACAGAAGGGAAGGAAATGCTAACAGGGTGGGGGGAGATGGGCTTGTTTCACTTTTAGGTAGTCAGGTTACTTCTAGATGGATAGTCCTGGAGCTGTGGATCAAACACTGTCTTGCCACTGTTCTGTCCTTCCATCTTTCATGGATTTCTTTGATGGTGGTGGAGGAGGAAGAAGTGATGGGAAAACACAGGAAGGTAAAAGTGGAGACAACACCAGGATCCCCTGTGACATTTCACCAATGAGGCAGGTTGACTGCACAGCTAAAGCTTTGCCAGTTACAGGCCATAGTTAAACATACACACACTTATGCTGTTTCCTTTTGACCTGCCCCTTACGCTGCAGGCCATGCGTTCTTGGGAGCAAGGCACATGGGAGTGCACACAGTGGGACTTCCCTCCTTCCAAGGAAGAACACGCTCCCTGCAGAAGAAAGTGACTTCATGCCAGTGGACGATGCACATCTGTTTCACTCGCTGCGGCTTGCAGAAACCTTGGCAGAGTGAGCTGCATGGGTCAGAATATCACCTACAAGGTATCAGAAGCCTGGGCAGCAGGGCAGATTCAGCTCAATTATATAAGCCCCTACTGTTTTTCTATGAGAAAATTCCTACTGTGCTTGCATGGATATCACATGACTGTCTGAGGGCGACCTGATGTGCTAGAACGGCTGAGTTGACCATGCTGAGCACGGGTGTGAGGAAGTTGCAGCAGAGCCTGTAGCTCAGTGGCAAAGCACCTGTTTTGCATGCAGAAAGTCTGAGGTGAGGAAACCCTGAGAGTCCCAGCCAGTGAGTGTCGATGGTCATAGGCTGCATGAACCAATGGTTTGATTTGCTACAAACCAGATTCTGAAGCTCCTCTCCCACCTCTCTGATAAACTGACCTGCATGCGAACCAAAGTGGTTTTGCAATCAAAATGCCCTAATGTGGTAGCCTCTAGATACATTGGGCTACAACTCCCGTGCTGTCTGGGGGTGATGGGACTGAAGTTCAGTATATCTCGTGTCTCCCAGGTTGGGGAAGGCTAGATCAGAGTGTCAGTTAACCGGGTGACTTGGGCAAATTACTCTCTTCCTGCTTAACCTATCTTACAAATTTGTTATGCAGATAAAATTCTCTCTTTCTTTCTGTGATCTTGCAAACCTACCACTGTGTGTATGAGTTTCTTTCTTTTCCTTGTTTGGCTAGTCGTTTTGACTGCTAGATAGCCATATTGGCTCTTTCTAGTATTTCTTTACAGTTTCATTGTTGATCATGCTTATTTTATTTCTTTCTTTTTTTAAAAAAGTTGAAAACCCCCTTTAAGGTCAAACCTCCCAAAGGCAGCATGCAAGAAAATTGAAAACGACAAAAAAACATTAAATTAATGATAAAAATGATGATATGAATTAAAATAGACTTCATGCTTTGTGAAAGCTGCTCTGAAGAATCAGTTTTAGAAGAAAGATACTGAGCAAATGTTATGTTATTGAAGAAATAGATCCAAGGCACATTTTCTCAGAAGTAAGTCACAAGTGAGAACACATCTTTAGACTTGTGGTCTTAGACAGCAATATTCAGAGGAAGTTCAGAGAAAGGTGGAATAAGGGAATGGATTCGAAGCACAACCCACAGGCCAAAGGCAGAATTCAAGGTATTGTGCCCCAATTTTGTGCATGATTTACTCAACAATAAATTCTACTGTGTTCAAAGGGTTTACTCTAAAAAATGTGCTTTGGGTTGTAGTCCTAAGCTAGAAATCCAAAAAAGCAACAATTCAATGAAAATGAAATTAAATGAAATTGATTCTGCTCCATACACAAAAGTAGTCCATGTGTGTTCATGAGTGTGTGTAAAAAATTTTGTATGCACTGTAAAGATTTTAAAAACATGAAATAGCAAAATCACATATTTAAACCATAGCATATTTATTGGAAGGATGGCATTCAGCAACCATCCATTTCTAGCAAGGTGCTCTGTTCTCTGAGGTTCTCTACTCATTAGCCACAGTTTGGGGGGAAAAAGATAAAGGGATGGAGAAATGAGCTGGAAAAGTATCAGATATCTTTTGAGTGCTTGAAGAGGCCAGAAAGTGGATAGAAAAGGCAGAGATGGAAGGCTGGCATGGCTGTATCAAGTTCAGAAAGCTCTTCTAATAGAAATTAGATCAACCCTATGCAGGTTGAAAACAGCAACTTATTCAGTTTCTTGAAGTCTCTGGTATGGGCAGAGGGTGGTTGAAAGACCCAGCAGGATCTCCTAAGAGCACCTTTTATTTCAGCAGCTATTCTTAGTTTAGACTCAAGCCGTCTTGGTGGGAATGGCACATAGCACACAGACCTCCACCAGCTCAGATTCTGCCTTCAAAGAAAGGAATTATGCTACTACAGCAGATCTTCCCAGCCTCACACCCTCTAGATGTGTCACACTACAGTTCCCATCACCCAGAACCTACACTAGCCCTTGATGGAGGTTGCACTCCAATATATGCAGAGGGTGCCAGCTTGGGAAAATGGCTGTGCTTAGAAATACTTTAATGCCACCTTATATTTAAGCAAGAACCTGTTAGTCATATGTGAGAAGGAATAGCAGGCAAGCAAAGGTTCAGGGATGCATACAGGTGAGCAATCTGGCTTTGCCCCTTTTCCGGTCCTGGCACAGAAACCAAGCAAGCCATCAGAGGAAGGATATCCTGTTCTTCACACCCAGCCCAGAAATGCTTTCCATCTCCTCTCCATCAGCTCCCAGCCAGCTAGTAAGATATTTTAGCAGGCTAGTGACTGTGGTGGGCTTATTTACAAGGCTGCTGTAATGAGTTCTGCAGCACTGAGTCTAGTAGCAACACAAATGAGGTGACACACAGGCAAGGAGATCCCTGTGCTAATGTTATGCGTTCCTCCTGCGTTACACCTTATATCTTTTTGGCCAACTTTCCTTCTAATGATGCAAACAAAGAGTAGCTGTGGTAGTGCTATGTATACTCAGGCTTCACCTCGAATCATGTGTTCTGGAGTACACGCACTTCCATTAGACTAGTCATCACACATCTCTTAATGCACATACTCTGTTGCATTTGCTCACAAATGCTGATAAATATGAAACAGACACAGATATGGGGTGATTTCTCAAAATATGTTACAGGATGATTCAATGCAATCAGTGGACAGATGTGCAGTATC